GTAGCTTGGGCCAATGCATGAAATTCGGCTCGAAACTCATTATTAGTCACTTGCTCGTCCAAAGGGTTAACTGGCACTTGGGGAACCTCTTGTCTCACATTTTCACGAACATTCCTATTCTTCTCACATGATTTCTTTGTGGAAGCATATAATTCAAAGCATAAATAGGGTTTAGGAGAGAAAGACACCTAGAGTTACACTCTATCGCACGACTTTAGAGTAATGAAAGAAGTGGAGTTTCCTAAACATCTTATAGCGTCTTATTCATAAATGTGGCGCGCTTCACACTCGTGAACAAGAATCTACTCGACGTGGCTTAATAGACATCCTAGGACCTTTCCAAACCTTGTCCTCTTAATACCAAGTTTTTCACGAGAGGCCCCATACAAGCCACTTAGAATTCATAACATAAGAAATAGAATGAATAAGAGATAAAGAAGAACATTTCAAATCCCAAAAGTTTTATAAAAATAAAGCGGAAGTCTAAACAATTGTCTCATTAGCCATCTAGTACATAAGAATGAAATTGGCTTAGCCCATACATCATGTCCAAAACTGAAGGTAAGAAAGGAAACTGAAAACAATGAAAATACCCCGTCGAAGCATGAGGACTCACCAAACCTCAAAATCTCTCAAGTCAACCTCTAGCCACGAAACTAAGAACCCTGACTGTCGGACCCTACATTTGGGAAATGTAGGCAAGAGTATGCGTTAGTACAACCATGTACCAAGTATTATAGTCATGCATATAAACATTTAGAAACATGCTAAAATAGGACATTTCATGACATGCAATGACCTAGCTAAAACATGTTATAAAACGGGTTAGAAGACATAAGTCATAAATCATGGTGAGTGCAAGCTATCATCTTTAAAACCATTGAACACATGTTAGATACTTCTTGAAGTAACATTAGTTAATTATTATTGTGGGAAGTAGCCTTGATCGACATAGAGACCATGTGATCTATAACACGATCCCCAAGTGTCTCTTACACCGAAAAGGGTTGTCCTACTTGCCAAGGTTGAACCATTAATCTTAGCTAAAGTGGATCCACTAGCTAATGTCTATCTAGACAATCATCCTATGGGGCCACATAGGTAATGGATAAGGAGATTGCTTCTAGAAACCCGACCTCTAGTCATGGGAGAACTTCCATCTCAATATCCCCTCGGTGCTAAGCATAAATCCCGCAGAGCAGTCATTTTTTACTTGTTCTTATTGTCCATGGAAGGGCACGTCATCTTGCCAATCTAAGATATGTCATAAGTCATCCATGGAAAGGTATCATTCAATAACCAATCCAAGCTAGGTTTCATTAGGATAGCTCGTTATCATTGATTTATTTAGGTGATAAGACCTTTCAACCTTAGAATCCTTGTGAGAAAAACCTTTCACAATCATACTTTCATGTGTATATGAGAAATCCTTTAAGCAACACAATAACATTATCATTGATACTTTACTCTCAAATCATCCGTAAAACATTTACATAATTTCATAAGACATGGCTGATTTCATAATTCACCTTTCAAGGTTCAAAACCCACTTTCAATCATCAACATCTAGAAGACATGGGTTCATAGAAATTCATATAATTCTATCAATTTGTGCTTTATTTCATATAATCTTCTTTCATAATCCAAGACCCACATCATATCATCATAATTTGAAAAACATGAGAATTACATGGGCTCATGGGGAATCATTGCGAAATCATTAGATTAACTTAATTCATGCATCATAGATCATAAATTAGTCAATTAGATCAATAATTCGGAGAACCCATAACATAGAAGAAAACCCTAACTCAATTGGGGAATTCTAACTTTGAAAATAGGAGAATTCGGGAACTCCATGAATGGAAGGAATCCATAAATGAAAACTATCATACCTAAATGCCAAAAGCTTGGAAGAATTTGGGAACTCCATGAATGGAAGGAATCCATGTATGAAAATTATCATACTTTGATACCAAAAGCTTGGAAGCAATGGAGGATTTGGAGGCTTAATCTAGAAACCCTAGCTTTCTTCTTCAACTTCTAGAGAGAGAAATATTTGAGAGGAAAAACTTGGTCATCTTTTGAGAATTTGAGAGAATGAATTGGGTTTGGGTGATTTGGGGGTTTAAAATCATTATATAGGCTTTGGGTAGAAGGTAAAATGACGCAGTATTGAGTTAAAACAAATGGAAAAAGACCCAATAACCCCTGACTTAAAAAATGCCAAAGTGCCATCTACTACAGGACTGAAGGACCATCGTTTAGATTGTCGTCCGTCGACTAGGTCCGTCGTTCGTGGTCTGCCCGATATGGCTTTACTGAAACGAGCATAACTTTTTACTCTGAGCTTGAATTTTAGAAAACTCGGTGGAGTTGGAAAGAGGTTTCAATTATTTTTAATTTGATAGGTCATGTTCCACCTAATTCATATTTTGATAAAAGATATGACCATTTGAGTTAACCTAGAAGCCCTTTCTTTCCAAAAAACTGTCCTCCCTCACCAACGGCCAGACCTACAGTCCGTGGTTCTACCTACGAACTATCGTGGTCGATCGACGTTGGCTTCAGAGACTCAATCATTGAACCTAGAACGACAAATTTGACCTATAGTCCGATCTGTGGCTCAATCGATGGGCCGTGGGTCGCGGCCTTCGTTCTCAACTTATGACCCTGAAATCTTTCTAAGTTTGGGACTCATTTATGAAACCTATCTACAGCTCGTAGAATGGATGATGGGCCGTCTTGATGAACCATCACAAAGTACTTAAACTATACATCTTTAGAAAAGTCCAACTCTTGGACAACACCACCATCGACGGACCGTCGTCCCACCTACAGATCATGGATGGTGCCATCGGTCTTGACACTAGGTCTGAGAAAAACTGGAATTTTCTTACCTTTTGAATTCGAGGTGTTACATTATCGACAGACCGTAGGCCGACTCCATCGTCCTCAACTTATGACCTTGAAATTTTTTTTAAGTCTAGGACTCACTTACGAAACCTATCTATGGCTCGTGGAATGGATGACAGGCCGTCCTGATGAATCGTCACAAAGTACCGAAACTAGACATCTTTAGAAAAATCCAACTCGTGGACCATGGCACCATCGACGGACTGTTGTCCTACCTACGGGCCGTGGATGGTCTCGTCAGTCTTGACACTAGGTCTGAGAAAATTGAAATTTTCTTGCCTTTTTGTATCCGAGGTGTTACAGTTTTTTCGGTTTCATTTGTTTTAGTAGTATTGACTTGAGACTTCACATTGCAAGCCTTTTATTTTTTAGTTAGACTTGATAGATTATCTTTTTGCCAAATATTTTAATAATTTATGACATTTTATATATATAATATTAATCTTTTTGTCAAAAATGCATTTCATGATGTTCATATAAATCTTGTACTTTTAGTTTTGATGATTAATTCAATTAAATATACTAATTTGAAAAATATAAATTAATTATTTGTTCATAATATTAGTTAAGAGCATATGCTTATTAATTAATATATTTTTAAAAGACAATATATAGCTTAAATATTTAATTTAATATAATTTAGAAAGTTTCTTATTTCTCTAATATAAATTTTAAAAAATTATTTTGTTAATTTTAAAATTTAATGTAACCTTATGACTGCATTTGTACAACCAAACAATACGCAATGTTATTATACTGTGGCAAACAAACAAGTCATTGTAATTACCAGATTATGTAATTACTAGGCCGGTGATTACTACCCTAGTAGTTACCTCAATTCCAATTAATCTGATGGCTTTCCAGACAGAACCTTATTGAGAAAGAGCGATAAAAAAAGAGAGAAGAGATTATAAAACTAAAATTTTAATATTTATTTTTGGTGTTTACTCTCTCAAAGAGAGTAAAATAGACTCGCTTTGCCTCATAAAGATTAAGTTGAAATTAATTACAATTTTAAATCGTTTAGAGGTGATAGGACCCCATAAAGTTAAAGTTTATAGTTGAGAATCCGACAATATAATAGGTATGGGCTATTTGGTCATCTTCTCTATAATATAATGTGCTTTCATACATCACTGACTTGTTACAAGTGATAACTAGCCAAAAACAATAATTTTAGAATCATGGTATATACCTTATTTATTAAAAACAGTGTTAGATATGCATGACAATTAAGAAACAACTATCATTAATACGTGATAACAAAAGTATGAGGAAAGTAGTTATATATATTAAAAGAGAATTTCTTAAGACAATTTAAATTACTAAAATACCTCTTAAAAATCTAACCAACCTACTTATTAATAATTTTTTAAGAAATACTTAGCAACAACATCAAAGTCAGTAGTTACATACGAAGAGATGCAGTTCTTCACACAAGCTCTATTACATATTGATATGAAAAAATCTATTAAGAATGGAGTTTTTACCGCGGAAAGTACAATAAGAAAATTCAGGATCTTGAAAAATCACATGGTTAGTACTGCAAATGAAAGAAATTAACTTAGAGAACAATATGAGAGAAAGAAAAGTAACTTCAAGAATCTTTTTCATGGTAAGATTGAATTGTTACTAGCATGAAGAATATATATATATATATATATATATATATATATATATATATATATATATATATATATATATAAACCCTTAGTGGGATGATGCTTTCTAAACGTATATATAAAGTATCTTCAATTTCTCTAAAAATTATACGTTGGCGGTGTCTTCAATTTATTGTCTACATTTTGATAATTGAGCTATTATTGTAGATTTTTTTTTTAACAGCATTTCCATGATATACTCCCTTTGACCCTTTTTACTTGTCAATTTTGACTTGACACATTTGTTAAGAAAATATTGATTAGAGTAGTGAATTTACCATTTTATCGCTATTAATTGATAGGATCTCAAATATCTTTACTCGTTAGATGTTTCAAAGACATTAACTTAATGTTAATAAATGAAGATATAATAGGTAAAACAAGGTTTTTTTATTTGTTAAAAATAACAAGTAAAAAGGAACAATGAAAAAAAGAAAAAAGAGGCAAATGAAAAAGGATAGAGGGTTCAGATCACTCCATGATATGTGTTTGCCAAAGAGTGAAGGCGGAGTAGGGTTAAGATCACTCCATGAGGTCATGAACGCACTATTTGGAAAACTTTGGTGGTCCTTCAGAAAATCCACATCTCTATGGAGTTCTTACATGTGGAACAAATATTGTAAGAAGCAACACCACACGGTAGTGACTGGAACAGGGCCCTCTCATGCTTGGAGGAAAATGCTAGAAGTGCGGGTAGAAGTGGAGCATGAAATTTGGTGGAAAATTAAGTCTGGAGAGATGAGCTTTTAGTTTGACAACTGGACTAAGCAGGGTGCACTATACTTCATAGAAGATACAGTGATAGGGGAGGAAGAAGTAGAGGTGAAACAATTCATCGTGAATGGGGAATGGGACAGGCAGAGGTTAAGCAACCTAATTTCGGAGGAGATGACTGACTTTATTGTAGAGACTATACGAACAATTATTGAAGAAGGGGCATTGGATATTCCTTGGTGGATGGGAAGTAAAAGTGGGAAATTCACTGTGAAGTCTGCTTTTGAGCGCATAAGGAGGAAAAAGGAGAAGGTCTGGTGGTGGAGTTACATTTGGAGCAAAGGAGTTCCTTTTAAAATCAACTTCTTGCTTTGGAGAAGTTGGAAAGGTAAAGTAGCTACATATGATACGCTCAAAAGGATGAGGATCACTGTAGTGTCCAGATGCTACTGTTGTGATGCACATGAGGAGGAGACAATGAATCACCTTTTTCTAATTGCCCCCATAGCCCAAAAGCTATGGAGAAAGTTTGCTTCTTGAGCAGGAATCAGAATGGAGGGAGGATTACAACAGGCTATCACAAAATGGTGGGAAGAAGCTACCAAGCCCAAGTTAAAAGCTATATTTCAGGTTATCCCTGCTATTTTGATGTGGGAACTCTGGAAACGAAGGAATTCCAGAAGAAATGGAAGGGAAGTGAAGTATGAGACATTACTTCAACAATGTCAAGAAGTAGTATTCAAGCTAGTCAAGACACTATACCCTTGGATCAGGTTTCAAAAAAGTTGGGAGAATCTAGTAGAAGTGCTAAAAGAGTATAAACCCAAGCTATATTACCAAGCTATAACTTGGGTGAGACCACAAATGGGATGGAAAAAATGCAATACCGATGGTGCAATCAGAGGAAACCCGAGAGAGAGTACATATATCTTTTGTACAAGAAATATTCAAGGGCGTCTAGTATACGCTGAAGCACAGAGACTAGGGATAGGAAATAGCATGGAAGCTGAGTCTAGAGCCATCCTAAGAGCACAACAACATTGTCAAAACAACAATATCACAAATGTGATTGTGGAGACTGACTCGTTGTGTTTATCAAAGATAATAAAGGGAGAATGGAGAATACCATGGCAACATACGGAAGAGATAGATTAGATACAAAGGCTTCAACTAACTACTCATGCAAGAATCAGACATGTATTTAGAGAAGTTAATCATTTAGCAGACAAATTGGCAAATGAAGCATACGAGATGCAGTGGAGAGTACAATGGAAAAACATTCGGTAGTTATCAATGGAGTGCAAAAAGATCCTAAATGTAGCGAGATTAGTCGTGACTAATAAAATACGAGGGCCTGAAAGTTAGATTCATTAAATATAGAGCCACATCCGAGGGGAACTCCACAAAGCACAGGAACATCCTATTATCTCCATTAAAGCTCCAGCTAGAGAAAAATGAGTCAATGAGTTGGATACAGATCTTACAACGAGAGGAAAAAGTAGTGTCACTTACATGAAGTTTTGAGCTAATCGTCAAGGCACCTCTATCGATACCACCAGAGTAACCATTGCATCCACAAGATAACAACTCTACATAAAGAAAGCATGAGGTCAAAGAATAAAGATAGAAGGAAAAAGGAAAGGACAACATCTGATACAAACCTCGGTGAGATGAGTAATGAAACACATTGCGGCGACATGAAAGGGGGAATGGGGAGCTCAATTTAGAAACCCAAGCTTAAGGTTATTTGGTCTGGGCCATTTTTCTTTCTAAGTGTCGTTGAGTCTTTTGGGCCCATTGGTCTATTTTTTTTTATAGATATTTGAGTTGAATAAAAGGGGCTCCCAACTCCAATATTAAAAAAAAAAGGACATAGGGAGTATCATAGTTTTAATTTTTAATTTGTGGGTGTTGCCTTTTCCATAAGCGATCATGATGGTTACAGTATCAAAATAACTTACCCTTTAAAAGAACGAAATCACTTGATTCTAACATCGTATATTTTTGAAAGAGTATGTAATGATATCGTTCTATGCAATTTTTGTGTTCGTAATTGGTTGGACTTGATATTGGAACATATAGCTCGTTGGGGCTTACAATAGTACGTTATTACTAGGGGTGTCAAAATGAGACCAAATATTGATAATCCGTCCAAAATTTTATGGGTTGAGTTCAACATAATTTGAATTGGTTTCATTCTCAATCAATTCAGGCCTTGATCCATTTTAAAGAATATTCAATTGAGCCCAATTTAATCTTCAATTTCAACCCGTTTTAAGACTCTTTATTTGCATTAGTGTAATGTATGTTCCTATATTGAAGATTTGAATTACTATCTATTTTATATCTTCTAGGATCTATCTATCCATTTGTAACTCTTTTTAAAAAATAATTCTTGAGTTGAAATTAAAATTATGGTTATAAAACTTAAATAACAATATGTTAAAATTAATGAGATTAAGCATGTCAAATTGGGTAAGTCAAGACCCAACCCGTGTTTAGCCCATTTGAGTCTAATCCATTTGAGTTCAAAGTAAACTTGGGCGGGTCAGGACACAACTCGATTTCTATTTCAACCCATTTTAATATCTTCAATTTCAATCCAACCCACCCATTTGACAACCCTAGTTATTACTATTAAACATCAAATACATGTGTTTAAAAGAGAAAGACAGTAAAACCTCACTAAATTAATATAGGTGTGACCATGAAATATTATTATTTTATAGAGTTATTATTTAATTGATAAATTAATATTTATTAATTTAAAAAGTATTTTGAGATTTAATAAAGGTCAATTTTGGTTACATCAAAATAATTGTATCTTAAAATTTGCGTATAATATTTATTGAATTCACATAAAAAATTATTATACACAAAGTACAATGAATACATCAAAATCATTGTATCTTACTTAAGTATGTATCATAAAATTATTGAATTCATATAAATAATAAATCATTATACATAAATTACAATGTGTGTGTATAATTAATCATAATATTTTTTGTTAAATGATTCATTGTAAAATAAATTCAACAATTCAATGATTTATTATTAAAATAAATTCATTATACATAATGTTCATTATTTTGTAATAAGCAAATGTTATTCATTGTATCTTTACTAAAAACATTCAATGTATGATGGTGAGAGGATAAACTATATAAGCAACATATAATAAATTATCCTCAGTTTTATCTCAATCAAACATGGAATAAATTTATCCTAATATTAATCTCAAAATTAGTTATTCTTTATCCATCATACCAAATCAACCCTAAGTGACTTTATCTCTTGAAAATTATTTTCCAGTGAAATGTGTCAATGTATTTTACTGGGGAGTATTTTATAAAATATTTATTTATTGAACATTACTACTCCCTCAGTCCTAATTACTTGTCCACTTTTGAATTGACATACCTATTAAAAAAACAATGATTGACATAGTGAGTTTACCATTTTACCCCTATTAATTATGAAGTGGATGAATTAAAAATTTAAAATTTTCAAAAAGTTTTACTTTTTTCAAAGTAATTAATTGAGGGTATAGTAAGTAAATTTTTTTTGTCTTTTCTTGATTTGTCAAAATGAACAAGTACAAAGGGACAAGTAAAAAGAAAAATTGGAGAAGTAAAAAGGGACAAGTACAAAAGAAAATTTGGAAAAGTAATTAGGGACACACAGATATGGGGGGGGGGGGGTAGTAGAAACTAATATTCACCAATATCAAGTAACAAAACAAGGAATCAACGCAAATATACGATCTACAAAGTTTGGAAAGAACTAGGGGTGTGTGCATAATGATTGGGGTTTCAACTCAAATAGGCAAATATTAATCACAACCAAATTGATTGATATATGGATAACGTTTGGTCTGGGCTACATTCAATATTCTATCGAACTATCAAACATATGTCCTTGGAATTATCTCGACTCCAAGTACTTTTCCAATAAAACACCAAACATTGCTTGAGTAGATAGACTATCTCTAGCTCATATCATTAAATTAGAAATTACTGGAATTATCACATCCCTGGCTCAAACCCATATAATAATTTCAACAAGTCCTCACTATTGAGTCTTACCCAACTCCATTTTATTTTCTCAAACCAAAATGGTGTAAGAGAGTACAATCAATATTTGCAACCACTGATTCTTAGATAAAAATTTCAAGACAACAATAGATCCATGTAATACAATCAATTTTAGAACTGATAAAGCAATATCCATTTGGGGTTTTTCAACCTATCAAGAACACACACTTAGCTAAGGCTTTAACATCTCATAAAAGAAGAAATAGAGACACTACTCGCATAGGAAATCTCCATTTCAAGAATATGTATTTTGCAAAATATGAAATCCAAGCTTAGAGTGATACAAATATGAGTTTTCTTTCTGTACAAACTCTATGAATATTTTTCACCAAAAAGGAACATCTCTTCTACTATCCCTAATCGGGAAGAAGATAAAGGCACATAATTACACAAATTCTCATTCTATCCTTGGAATCTTTTAAAGAAAGCTTTAAATTCTTTAATTGTGTTTTTTCCCTCCATCTTTCGTATTTGAATTTGCGCTAGATCGGTGGAACGACGATTTAGGATTATGGAGCGCCAATCACTTTGCCACTTCGCCCTTGTGTTGTCACAAGAGCATCTGCATTGGGATCAGTGAGTTACCAATCAAGTATTGTACCACGTCGATTGAAGTACCGGTACTAAGGTTGCTTTGCTCCATTCAAATCAATTTTTAGCCAGCGAGATACTTGTTGGTTCCTGCGGGACACCAGTTCCTTCACTGGTGTGCTTCAATGATTATAGCTTCAAATCCACCAAACTTGAACTATTGCTTGTCCTGAAGAAAAACACTCACTAAACATAGAATTCAAGCTCAACTACACTCAAGATGTATTATACAATTACGCACTTGAATCAAAACAATAAAAACAAAAAAACCCAAAATAAAATATTCTATACACAGGAACAACTCACCATTGGTTCTACCACTATTCACTATGCAATTTTTTTTTTTTTTTAAAGCTTCTTTTAATTTTCGCACAATTCTGGTCCAACTTTCATTGAATCACAATTCAAACACATCTCAAGTCAATGGCATCAACCTTCAAGGTTTGCCTAGTGATTTATGAGAATTTATCGCATTCATGTAACTTAATTAAATCAAGATTTCACAATAATGCCACTCACATAAGAGAGAATCGCACGCATAGTTAAGAATTCCATTTCAAGGGATTATTGATCATGCAAAAATATTCACTTTCACAAAATAATTTAAGTACACACACATTGAACCATAGACGTGACCTCTCGCCACTAATGTAGATTGACATGGCTCAAAATTTCCAACGACTTGCAGGCATAACTTAGTCTTGGGCAAAAGGTGTGGAATTATTTGGTCAAGTGACTATGATGCCTCCCTAATGCTTTCACTTCTTAATTGAGCACACTGCTCTCATTTTTGGCTTTGCTTTTCTCCTTATTTCTCCCTTTTTATGATGTTCACTCATTCCAACCTCCATTCTTCTTTTCACTTGACACATGTGCACTCATTGAGCTTACACCCACAATTTTTTTATTTCTTTAATTTATAGCCTCTTTTCAGCACTTTTCATTTTGAAGCATAGGATGATCTTTTATTTTAGCTCAAAACTTTTTGTTCTATTGGTGTACAAACCTCCAAGCTTTGGTTTTTACCTACATTTCAAATCATTCACTTTTTCTCCCCCAAACTTAGGCTTTTACCTTATATCACAAACCATTAGCAACTAGGGATACACGAGGGTGTCAAGATAAAGGGTTACAATGGTCCAAGGAATGCGACGTAGTTGCCCGAAAAAATTGGTTTTGGCATAATGAGGCTGACTAAGTTAACATCAATAGATGGAAAATTTGGGATGGAATGGCTGGTCAAAATGTGTCTAGGTTCATCATTCAAGCTAAGTCAAATATAAAATTTTGCCTTGAAATACATTTTGGGGCAAGTTCTAGACAACATTCATATATAAGAATGAATCAAATCCTTTCCGCACAAGGCATTACAATCCAACAAAATATCAAACTAGTCTCAAAATTAATTAAGTCGAATTACTTTTGACAAACTAGAATAGGAAGGGTGTTACTTCCGCTTGTAAGTCA